TAACTTCTAGGATACTTATTTTTTTTTCCTCAATAGCTGTATATTTTGAGAAGAAAGAATATGACCTGTGTATAAAAGAATGTGAGAAAGCAATTGAAGTAGGGAGGGAAAACAGAGCTGATTATAAACTTATTGCTAAGTAAGTTTGTATGATGAATAAATTTGAAGATGCATTAATTGCTGTACAATGTTGTAGCAGGGCAATTTATATCTACTGGCTGTTGTGAAATGCATTACCTCTTTGTATTAAGATATCTTGATTAAGATTAATACTGTGTTCTCACTAGAAAAAGTTATATGAACGTATTTTGCACCCAGTAATCTTATAATCTTTGTGTTCACACCAGCAATTCTTAATATGGCGGCCATTGGATAATGCATGCATGCATTGCCCTGACTCGTAGATTGGCTTTATTTGTCTTTTGTTTCGAGCTATAATAACTCACAAGTCTGAGTCATGTAATGTTCAAATAGAGGGGAATTATTTTGTATTGACGATAAATCAGTACACATCAGCTGGAATTAGAATAAAATTTCTACAAAATTAATGTAGGGAAATCATTGTGATATTAACACCCAGTGAGTTTTTTCAATATTTTTCTCTAAAAGTGCAAAACTGTCTCGTTAATGGTACTATATGTTGATTTGATTTTAACTGATTTTCCCAATTCAAGTCACGAAAATGAATTTTATCCAAAGAAATTAATTCTTGTTATAATTTTCTTTTCAGGGCATTTGCTCGGATTGGAAATGCTTACATGAAACTAGAAGATTATGCTAATGCTAAAACTTTTTACAATAAATCATTAACAGAGCATCGTACTGCAGATACTCTTAAGAAATTACAACAGGTAAGTTGGTGTAGTCATAAATGTAACTACTATATGTCTAATTTATGGAAGCAACTATTAATTCAATGAATTGCATCAGTCAATCATTGTTGCTAGGAATATTTCCAGTGATGTTTTATTCAACCTCTACAAGCGGATACATGACAGACATTTTTACAAGGGTTGTTGGATGGTAAAAACAACAAATGTAGCGATGTACAAGGAAATTGTATACAGTAGAAACTTTTTCTATTTTATGTTGGCTGTAAGCCCTGGGGTCTCAACATGTAAATTTGAGGAAAGTAAGGGGTGGGCTTATACCCGAGGACCGCCTTGGAAAAGATGATTTTTTTGGTTTAACACTGTAATCATGACACTAGAGGGATTATTACGTCTCATTCTGAAAAAGTGTGAAATGAGTTGTCATTTATTATCACATCACTTTTACAATACGAAAGTGAATTACTGCAATGTTAAAATACGATCTGCACTGATTTCAACAAAAATATAGTGATTTTTTGTTTTCCCTCATGAAAATGGTGATTTGAAATTTTTGAATGGTGAACGGAGTGTGGATGTATTTACCACCTTTCTCTTTTCAAAAGGTCATGTCAAAGCATAGTTCACACCCCATTCACAATTATTCACTGATTATTCAGAAAAGTCTAAGTGGGACACTGATTACTTGAAAAATTAAAATGACCAGGTTTTAGAACTTGACGGTCACAGGTATGGCATTTTAAAAGTTGCCACTCAAAAAGATGTGGATTTCTTCAAGTTCAGTATTGCAACATTGGGTTCGTTGTTGGTAAACACAGAACAGCAAGAGTGCGTTGTTCGCCATTGCACTGTGAAATGAATATTTCAATAAATTTAAACCAATCGTCAATGCCTTGCCAAAACACCCTGGGCGTATAAACGAGCATGCTCTCACCTCGTTAAATGTCTAAAAATAAGGGATGGGCTTATACTCGGGGATAGTCTAATGACCGGGTATGTACGGTAGATATAGACTTCAATGAGTGCTTGTAAAAAAACTATGCCAGGGGATTTGCCATATTTGATGGCTTTCTTGTTCTTAAAATAACATAGGTAGAGAAAGTGGAAAAGGAGAGAGAAAGACTTTTATATATTGACCCAGAAAAATCGCTAGTTGAAAAAACAGCAGGGAATGAATGTTTCAAGAAAGGTACGTGGATCTCGATGTGTCATTGTCAGAATTATAGCAAAATTTAACCCTTGCATGTTTGGGTAAAATAGACATAGACTAAAAATATAATTGTGTTGTTAATAGGTCAATATCCGGAAGCTGTGAAACACTACACAGAAGCCATTAAGAGAGCTCCCGACGATGCAAAGTTATACAGCAACAGAGCTGCTTGCTATACTAAGTTAGCAGAATTCAGTCTTGGTTTAAAAGACTGCGATGAATGTATTAAGTTGGATCCAACTTTTAGTAAGTATACACTGCAGTCGTACCATTACCAGTACCATTATGATATATAATTCATTGAACATTTGATTCTCCCAGTGTACTGACTGGCAAAAATATTTTATTTGTGTATATCGTCAAATGTTGCAACATGCCACATTGTGTCTTATTGAGTCCTGGTATCTGCATAAAATAAGGAATATCTTGATATTTCCACAATGGCGATGTTTCAAATCTACACAGTGAAAAACTTCCACAAATTGAGGAAAGGTAAATTTAGACTCAACCCACCCAATCGCTATGTTTGTATAACTGTATGAATATCTCATCGGCTTTACGTAATCCATTGTGCCCCGCCCTAAGTGGAAAAGATAACACAATGCCATGACAGTTTTCACGCAAGGTTTTGACTCCGCGGACGATTTTACGTCGGTTTCCCTAGTATTGTAAATATTTTTATTTTATTTTTTTATCTGACGATTGAACATCAGCAAGCGTCGGTGTATGATAGATGGGCAGAGAGATTGAAAATTAATTAGCTCCCACAGATTTTGTCAGTTTGTCTTGACATTTTTACACTATTTTGACAACGTCTCTACTAATAAAAAGCAAAAAAAAAAGAAAATTCACTCTCAAGTGCCCTCGAACCTGCATCTATACCTTAAAGATGGACATGCTGTGATATTCTATTATGAAAGAGTGACTGTTTTATCCAAGCACTAGGTCACCCTTCAATTATGTCTTATTATAATCTTATTTTTCTAATTTGTACTACACAGTAAAGGGTTACATTCGTAAAGGAGCGATTCTGTTGGCATTGAAGGAGAATGGCAAAGCTATGAGTGCATATCAGAAAGCGATAGATTTAGACCCAAGTTGTCAGGTTAGTGTAAACATGCATGGATCTAATTCCTGTGCTGTGTATCCCACAGTAACCGTTACTTACTGTATCTATACATCCTTTCACATGTATTTATGGGTAATTATCAGTTGTCTGACTGATAAATGTTTGCATATTGTTAGGAACGATACTTTCGTCATTGTTGCTGTATGTGATATTAGACATTACAGGTTTCTGATGCACATCATTTATTTTTAAGATCGGGTTCAAAATGGCTGTCTGGCAGCTATTTTGTTTTAATAAATGGGCTTCTAGACCCATATCTCCAACTTGTTTTGACTGATTATGTTCAAATTTTAAATATTCATTATACATCATGTCATAGATAGATGTATTGGTTTGACGATCCTATTCAAAATGGCCGAATGGTGGTCATTTTTGTGCTAAAAAATCATCAAATATCGAGCATTTCTTGCATTTATGGATGGATTTTGTTCAAACTTATAACATACATTAGACATTACAGATTCGTGATGCGCGTCGTTTTATTTTTCAGATTGGATTCAAAATGGCTGACTGGTGGCCATTTTGTTTTAATGATTGGGCTTCTAGAGCCATATCTCTTAAATGCTTTGACTGATTATATTCAAATTTTATATATTCGTTATACATCATGTTATATATATATAAACATGTATTCAAAATGGCTGATTTTGAATGCTGTTCCAGAGCAATATCTCTCAATATGGACAAGTACTTGTTTGACGATCAGATACAAATGTCAATCATTTTAATGTTAAAAAAATCATATTCCTGACATGGTTATATTCCAGCTATATTACTATAAACAAAACTATATATCTTAAATTTGATAACTAACGGAGACTGTGCCATGCATGGCTTGTTTTCACTGATTTTTGAGGGGTTGAATGTGTAAAATATATGAAAAGAAGTATATTTGCTGGATTTTATTAGTCCCCGTTCGGACGCAGTCAACGGGTTAACGATAGCCGAATAGCGGCCATTTTAAGGCCGAAAATGCATCAAAATCGCACATTTTCACCATTCCGAACCCGGATCTCAGTTATGCATGGACGGATTTTGTTCAAATTTGGTACATACATTAAACATAATAGGACCTTGATGCACGTCCTTTTTGTTTTTTGGATCGGGTTCGAAATGGCCGACTGGCGGCCATTTTGTTTTAAAGAATTCAGTTCTGGATCCGTATCTGAGACATGCTTGGATTGATCGAGTTCAAACTTCACACACACAAGGTACATCATGTCACAAATATGTATGTGCATTTGTTTCATGATCTCATTAACGATAGCCAAATGGCGGCCGCTTTAAGGCCGAAAATGCATTGAAATCGCACATT